GAGCGTCTCGAGAATGAGCTCGGAGGTCTTGTTCGCAATGACAAACGACCACGCCTTGCGCGAGAAGTCGTCGACCATCGTGAGGACGAAGAACTGCTGGTTGACCTCAGGGCCTTTGATGGGCCCAATGAGGTCAGCCGCGACAAGCTGAAGCGGAGCCGTGGACGTAGAAGTGCTGGTCGGGTAAGGGGCAACGATTATGTTCGCCTCCTGACACGCCGCGCACTCGAGGGCGTTTGCACGCAGTATGGCCTTGAGGTCGACGACGCTCAGTGGGATGAGCTTGCGCTCGGCGAGTACAACCATCTTGGCGAGACTCGCGTGGCCGAGCTTCTTGTGCCACGTCATGGCGAGTTGGTACGAGAGGTCGAAGGACGACTCGTCTTGGACGGCGCAGATGTCGGGCGCCGTGCCCTTGCGGATGGTGAAGCCTTTGATCATGGCAGCAGAGAGCTGTGGCCGACTGGCCGGCAGGTCGACGAGCTTGCCGTTGCGGACCTTGCTCATGAGTTGCACGCGCAGCATTGACGACCGGCCGTCGAAGTCGAGACTGTTGATGACCGGCCGGCGATCGTCGGGCACGAGCGAACGCAGAGTGGCCGTATGCGTAATGGTTGTCTGCAGCCCGGCGTCCTTGTACAGCCGATGCAGGCTAATCAGGTTAAGCCCGACCTGCGGGCTGACCTGCACGTCGCGCAGTTGCAGGCGGATGCCGTGGTCGTCGTCATCGCCGTAGATCGTGACGTTGGCGAAGCCAATATGCGTGATTGCCATGCGACCGCCGTTGGCAACGGTCGAGTAGGCGCCCTCGATCTTGCGGACTGCAGTGAGCAGCTTTGGGTCGCTGCAGCAGTGGCTGGTGGCGCCCAAATCGAGGAGCCAGAGCGACGGCTGGGACTTGTTGTCGATGGCGAGCTGGCGCTGTAGGAGCATGATGCGCTCGCGCACATCATCCTGCATCGCCGAGTTGATGCTCTCGTCGAAGCGGGTGAGACTCTCCACCTCGTTGGAGGAGTCGTTGCCGTCGTCGGCATCGTTGTTGCCCGAGGAGACGGCGGCGATGAGCGCTTGAGGCTCGGCAAAATAATCCGCCTCCTCGAGATCGGCGGCGTACGCGTAGTGGCCGGCGTTGAGCCGGCCGCTCTCTCAATCGCTGGCTGCCTTCGGGCACTTGCGTGCCCAATGGCCCTTCCGCCCGCAATAATTGCACTCATCGTTGGGGTTGCGAGCCGCACGACGACGAGTGAAAGCGGGACGAGAGCCAGGCGAGCCTTGCTGGCGAAGAGGAGACGGGCCGCCCATGTGGGGCGGGGAGTCGCGCGTCTTCTCGCCGGGAGAAGAGTGGGCGTCGCGCTGCTTGCCGGCATTGCGACGGCGAGTGTCGCGGACGGCGGCGAGGACGTTCTCCTCGGACCAGCTGGCCATGTCGTCGAGAGTGACAGGCGCAGCCGGGAGGACGGCCATCGCTCGATCGTCGCTGCAAACGACAAGGGACGTCGCGCCGGTTTCGACGGTCTTCTGCGTCTTGCGCAGGGCAAAGTTGTCCTGCTCGTACTGCAGAAGGGCCGTGTAGCACTCATCCAGCGTCATGCCGGGCCACTCTTGGACTACGTACTGAGGGTTGTTCCTCTTGTCACGCATCTTGAGAGCGTTGTGCTGATCGCGTTGCGTTGTCATCGTGCAAGATAGGACGAGGCCGAAGGCGGGGTTGAGGCCAACGCGGAAGGTGTTGACGAGCGTCTTGTTGTCGATTGTGCCGCCACGCGAGAGGAGGGCGCCGTGTAGCGTGCGGAAGTTGAGGATGTAGTCCTCGACCTTGTCGCGCGCGTCCTGCTTAAGGTGCATTAGCTGGGTCATCGCCAGCGACCGCTCCTGCTCAGTGTTTGGGCGGATGCCATCCTTGAGCAGGCGAAACAGAACGGAGCCCAGGTTGCGTGCGTTCGTGAGCCCCATGCCCGTCGCTCCGGGCCCGATGTAGTGTGCGCGGGTGGTGTCCGACACTGTGCCGAGCAGAACGGCGCCGAGCTGCACGTCGAGAGTGGCGCTGTAGTCAATGTTGGCCGTGTTGCCGATCATCGGCTCGACAGAGCCGTCGAGGATGCCCCAGACGGGGTACCCGCCGTCAGGCATCTCGCTCTCGAGTGCGGCGCAAAGCTGCTGCGTGAAGCTCTCCCATTTAGCTCTCGTGAGCTTGGAGATATTGCCCATGAAGGAGCAAGACGCCAAGCTCTTCTTGGGCATCCTCGGATCGACCGGAGGAGCCTGCGGGAGCGTCGTGGCAGCGCGGCCGCCGGCAGGGGCAGCGCCGAGTCCCAGCTGAGCCATCTGCTGAGAGATCTGCTGCGCCACTTGCTGGGCAACTTGCGACTGTGTCGAGCCCGCTGCCATCTGAGGGACAGTGCCCGTCGGGTCACCGTTTGGGTAGGTGATCATGCCCCAAATGTCGCGCACGAGGCCTTGGCGAAAGGTGGTGATCTCCTTGGCCGCAACGGCGGGATCGCCGTGCGTCTGCATGATGGCCTCGACTTTGTTGTGGAAGTACGAGCTGGTTGCGCTGCTGGTCGCGAGCTTGACGAGGACGTCGCGGACGCGAGTCTTGTTGACGGCGGGTGGAGCGACAGAGTGGATGTCAATCCATGCCTGGTTGACCCAGTCGGCGATCGCGATGCGGTCGTCGTCGAGGATGGCCGAGGCATCGAACTTGGTCATCGCGGACAGGTACTCGAGAGGGCAGTTGCCGATCGTGACGCGGAGGTCGAAGGGAGCATCACTGGCGATGATGCGCGTGCCTTGTCCGTTGAAGTTCCACTTCATCAAGCCGCCCGATGGCAGTGCTGTGGGAGCTGCGGCCATCCTGCTTCCAGTTGGCGCAGCCGTGGGCTTGGAAGAGGCAGAGGGCGTGAATGCGGGAGCCGAGGAGGAGAGAGCGACGACAGGGGCGACGGCCAAGGTAGAGGCTTCCGGCGCGGAAGGGAGTTCCTTCTCAGGAGACTCAGGGGCCTTGCCTTGACTCTTAAAGAAGGTATTGGCTAGAGGCGGCCGAGAGCTGTCCTTGGGCGAGGAGAAGGAAAGCAAACGGAAGAGAGAGGCGGGCAAGCGTCTGGTCGACTTGGTCGGGGAACGTCTTGTGGACTCGGTCGGTGACAGTTGGGAGTCGCTGCTGCTACCGACTCGATGGAGGAGGGCCCTAGTGTTGCCAATGAACGAGCCAATGGTCTGGCCAGTGCGTGAGCTGGAGGGGCTGGCACTTGGCGAGACGGCGGGCTCGGAAGGTTCTGAGAGCGGCTCGAACTCCTCGATCCACAAGGGGTAGTTGGCCAAGAGCTTGCTTGCCCTAGCTTGATCGGTGGCTCGGCTGAAGTGCCGGTTGATCTCTTGGCGTTGTGCCTCGCTGTACGACGAGAGGTTCAGGAGAGAGACCCTCTCGCTGTAGAGGTCGCTGACGGCCTTGAGACGCTCTGAGCGTTTGGGCTTGAGAGAGGCTGCGTAGAGAGCGTCGTAGAGCTGTCGAGCGCTGTAGACCATGCCCTAAGGCTAGTGGTTGCTTGCCGCGGGTAGTCGCTTTGCTGTTGAAGGCGACAGCGAGAGGTACCAGACCTTGTGCTACCAACTTGAGTTTGGGGGCTACCTCGGTCGGCGAGGAGCGCCAAGCTCTAAGCCGCGGAGTAGCGCTACCGGCCGGGAAAGGCGTGGGAGCGCACTCAGAGCGGTGGTCGGAGACCAAGAGCGGAAGCTCGGTGCTACGGTAACAAATCCGCAGACAAAGACAATACACTGGCACGGGTGAGAGTGCCGGTGTCGATCGAGGTAACGCTGTTGTGCAGCGCTACACCTTCGCAGCCGTGTGACGGGCAGCGGAAGCCGAGCGTGACGTCTACAAGTAGACGCAACGCGCCGAGAGGCCCAGTCGATGAAGACTGCGGCGGCTCGGGTCCAAGGAGCTACGCCGGTGCTGGCAAAGCGACTCGATCGAGATGCAACGTCGGTGCTGGCGACGCGGCTTGATAGGCGAGAGGCCTCACCGGGGCTGGTGACGGCGGCTTGCGAAGGGGGCGGAGAGGCCTCACCGGGGCTGGTGACGGCGGCTCGGCGAACAAGGGCTGACTCTGGAGAGAGCGCGCACGAGTCAATTGCTGTGAGAGGCAATGTAAAGACAGAGGGGAGTAATTGGGTGACGTGTGCGCTCGGGGGCTGGCTCGCGTGAGTATAAGAGGGGATCGCGCCTGTCGAGGAGCAAGACAGGCGCGGTGCGTCGCGCATGGCGCGAGGAGAGACACTAGGCGCAGCCTGAGTGTCAAGAGAGGAGCCGTCGAAATCGGACGGCGAGGAGGGGCGGCCGCCGGCTCAGGAGGTGATGAGCCGGCGGCGTCGAGGGGCGCACGCGAGCGCTAGGTGTGAGCGATGCCTACGTCCTGCCTGTGCTCGCAGCATCAGGGTAGGTTCGGCAATCATCGCTGCGACACCCGCCGTGATGGAGGGGGTGATGTGAAAGGAAGAGGTTGAGGAGCCGACGCGGGATGAACCATGCGCGGCGGCGACGAAGGCGGTGATCGGTTGCTGGGCGTCGCGCAGCGGCGTGTGCAAAGGCGGTGGCGCCGGCTGTGACGAGCGTGAGCAGCGCGATTGCCCCTACCTCTTCCAGATGACAAGATGCGGGGATCGGAGGCGAGCGGAGCGGCGAGTCGAAGATTGTCGGAACAAGAACGGTCGGTGAGACGAGGCGGCGGTGAGGAGACGAGTGGCGGCGATGCAAGGCGTCGCAGGAAAGGGCGCAGTGTCGGCGACGATGAGGCGTGGGCGCGTGCGTCCCGCAGCGGCGTCGGCACGGACCGCGAGATCGCTCTATAGGGGCTGCGCAACAGGGGCCGGCGAGCGACAGCGACAAAGCCGTGGCGTTGCACGGACTCTGCAATGTGAGGCGCGCGCAGCCCTGATCGCAATTGCCTGCGCCTCCGCTGCTGCGAGAAGCACTCACCCGGTCGTGGTCTGCGGCTTGGGCGATGCTGCACTCGCTTCGCTCGGTGCACACCTCTGCGGTGGCGTCGCATGCGCGGCTGTTCATGCATCGGTGCATGTGGATTGCCCAGGTGCACCGTTGTCGCCCAGGCAAACGCGCCCCCGACCCCGACTCAGACATCGAAGCCGACGCTGCTGACGACAACGGTGCGTCGGATACGTTGGAGCGCGACGTCCAAGAGGCCCTTGCAGCCGGCCTTGAACTCGACACGGAGCTCGCTGCCGCAGACGACGCCGCAGGCCTCGAGCAGCATCTCGAGCCGCTGCCCGACGAGCAGCGCGACACCCCGGCGCCAGGGCCACTCGCGCACGCACGCGCCGTTGGTGACGATGACGATGACGCAGGCCTGCGCCGAGACTACGTCCTCGGCCGGTGCCCGTCGTGCCCCTCGCCTGACAGCGTCGCGCACGGGTATCTCGAGTGCCCCGTCGTCTGGGAGCGCGTCTGGCAGCCGTGCCTCAAGCTGCTCCCCCTGCTCCATGGTCGTCTGTGCGGCAAACTTGCAACGCGCGTCCTCGATGGATTCAGCGCGCCGTTCGACATGGTCTGCTACTGGCCGGCGCGGCATTTTGCAACGCCGGACGCCGAGGCACTCCGCTCCCGCCTTGCCCTCTGGCGCGACGTCGTCATCGCACACATTGCCGACGCACGACACGCCGCAATAGCTGCCTCGGCGCACGGGTTGCAGCGCGTGCTCGCTAGCTACGGCGATTCAGCCGCAGCCGTGACCCGCGAGCTCACAGCTTGCCTCTCTGCAGCGCGGGCGCGAGCGAGCGTGTCTGCTGCTGCAACTGCAGCCTTTGACAGGCGATGGATCGACGACGGCTCGCTGCTGGAGCCATGATGCCGTCGTCCTCTCTCATGCACCACCTCTCCCGCCTCGCGCGCCGCCGTGCCGCACCGCTCGCCGCCACCGCAGCAGGACCGGCTCCCCTGTGACCCGCGCTCCTTGCTTGCTGCCGCGCGTTGTACTTGACACACCTCGCTCGCTGACTCTCAATGAACTTCTCATAAAAAAAGAAAAAAAAAATGTCCCAAGCGCGTGGCGCTGTGGCGAGCCGTCGTCATCCACGTCATCAGTCGGCGTCGGCACGCCGCAATTGCTGCCTCCGCGCAAGCGTTGCAGCGGAAGGTCATCGATCTCTCCGACCGCGACGACGGCCTCAACCGCGAGATCCAACACGAGCTCATCAGCGGCCTTCTGCGCCAGCTTGATGCAGCGGTGCCCGGCAGTCGTCGACAGCGCAAAACACGCAAAACGTTTGTCGACGGCAGCCGTCTCGGCATCTGACCCCTCGCCCTGTGCGACGAGAGCCGGCTGCTTCGGCCCCGCGTCCCTCGCTGTATGGCTGCGTTGATGTATGACCCTCTGACTTGTTGCTCTCGAAATGAACAGCTATAAGAAAAAAAAAAAAATGGCTGCGTTGATGTATGACCCTCTGACTCGTTGCTCTCAAAAAAAAAAAAAAAAAAAAAACTGCTTGTCATCATCCAGGGGCAGGATGCATCTTTTGGCCTGGGGGCAGCTGCTGTGCTGCGGCATGTGCTGCTGCGCCCCTGCCTGTGCCTGCGCCTCTGCAGCAGCACTCTGGCATGTCCTGGGGTGTGCTGCGCTGCTCCTGGGCCAGTGTCTGCGCTGCCAGCACTGTGCAGGGGCAGCAGGCGCATGCCAGGCTGCACCCAACTCAGGTGCTGCCCAGGTGTGGCCCGGCGGCTGCCTGCTGCTGCCTGCTGCTGGTCTGGGCCTTGCAGGGCACTGCTGAGCGCTGCTGGGTGCTGCAAGGCTCCACCTGTCTGCCGCTTCAGGGGTGCCAGACAGGATCTTGGTGACAAGACTGTCTTGTCTGGCTGTTGCAGTTGGCGGCCAGATTTCTTTGGCTGGGCCCCGGGCGCGCGCCCCGCAAGTGCCGCCAGAGCGAGGCGCGTGGGAACACGCCGGTCGCGGCGCGACCGGGCTGCTCCCACGCTCTCTAGCAAGGGTCGCGGCGCTGCCAGCTTACGTCAGCATCCGTCGCCGATCCGCGTATAGTATGGCGGAGGTGGAGCAGCGGCGCGCGGCAGTAAGAGTGCGACGTCAGCGGCTCGCACGCCGCAAGTCGGCACGCCATCTCGCTGGGCACGGGCTGGCCACGTCCGTGCAGCAGCGCTCGCATCCTTGCCATCTCCCCACACCATTCCCCATCTGCACCATGTTCCGCCTGCCTCTCTCCGCACGCGCCGCCCTGCCCAACGCCAGCAGCAGCCTGCGCGCCGGCAGCCGCCGCGCCTACGCCTCGGCGCCGCCGCCGGCCGCGGGCGCCAAGTGGGCCATGCCGCTGTCGCTCGCCGGCCTCGCCGGCCTCGGCGCCTGGTACTCGCTCGGCGGCTTCGGCGACGTCAAGCCCATCGCCACCGAGGGCAAGAGCGCGCTGAACAAGGACGAGTGGCGCGAGTTCACGCTCAAGGAGTGAGTGCGCGGCGGAGTGTGCGGGGGATGTAGGCACGGCAGGGTCGAGCAGCGGTGCAGGCACACCAGAGTCGAGCAGCGGTGCAGGCTATGCAGGACTGTGAGCGGCGGTCTCAGCCGCAGGGGCAAGACGGCCGGCTCGCTTCAGTGCGATGCAGACGACAGCCTGAAAAGATCTGCAGCTCTCGCCAGCCGCTTGCATATACGCGGCTCCGTGCCTCTCCGCCATGACGACGCGGCGCTGACCCGCCGCCCAGGGTCAAGCCGTACAACCACGACTCGTCGTTCTTCATCTTTGAGCTGCCCAAGGGCGAGGACTCGGGCCTGAGCGTCGCGAGTGCCGTCGTGTTCAAGTCGGACGCCGTCAAGGACGACAAGGACAAGCCCGTGATCCGCCCCTACACGCCCACGTCGGCGCCCGACACGCCCGGCCACATCGACTTTCTGATCAAGAAGTACAAGGACGGCAAGATGACCGAGTTCGTGCACGGCATGCAGCCCGGCGACAAGCTCTCGATCAAGGGCCCGATCCCCAAGTTCCCCTACAAGGCCAACGAGTTCGGTGCGTCAGCGAGAGCCGCGGGTGGAGCGCTGCGAGATGCGGCAGCTGGCTGCACGTGCCGTCGCCGCGGTCGCGGCTGTGCCCGCTGCTACTGCCTCTGACACTACGCTCCTCCCTGCAGAGGAGATTGCGCTCATCGCCGGCGGCAGCGGCATCACGCCGATGTGGCAGATCATGCAGCAGATCTCGGCCGACAAGAGCGACAAGACCAAGGTGACGCTCATCTACAGCAACAAGTCGCAGGCCGACATTCTGCTGCGCGAGGAGTTCGACGCGCTCTCCAAGAAGGACGAGCGCTTCAAGATCGTCTACGGCCTCGACAAGAAGGACAAGGGCCTGCCCGCCGACACGTTCGAGGGCTACGTGACGCCCGAGGTGCTGAGCAAGTACCTGCCGGTAAGTGCCGGAGTGTCACACGCGGCGGCGCTCGACGTAGCAAGCGTCACATGCTGATGCGCCTCGCAGGCACCTGCCAAGGCCGACAAGATCAAGATCTTCGTGTGCGGCCCGCCGCCGCAGGTCGCCGGTGAGTCTGGCGTGTGCGCGCACGGCCGCACACAGCCACTCACTCTCGCTGCCCCGCAGCGATCTCGGGCGGCAAGGGCGCCAAGGGCTCGCAGGGAGAGCTCAAGGGCCTGCTCGCCGATGCCGGCTACCAGCCCGTGAGTGGGAGCGGACTGATGGCGCTGCTGCGCGGCATGAGCTAATTCGTCTTCGCACAGGACCAAGTGTACAAGTTCTGAGCGAGACGCGGTGCTCCGTGTGCTACTAGACGCCCGAGCGGTGAATACATGCAGTAACTATCGCGATGTGTGTAGATGAGACCGAGAGATGTGCTCGGTGTGCGTCGGCTGGACGCGCAGATGGCCGGCCGCGCGCGGCAGCAGCCGAGCGCCGTGCGCCGTGCGGTGCGGGCCGCCGCGCGCGGACCATGAGATGGCCGGCTTGCCTTCGCGCTTGCCGTCGGCGGCGCGGATCTTTCTTCCCTGCCCCATCACCCGCACCTCATCACCGCACACTCTCCTTGCCCTGCTCTCGACTCATTCCGCTTACGACCCAGCGTCCCTGTGCGCGCCTCACGACCCCCACGACCTGCGGCGTGCTCCGCCTCAGCCCCACGCTGCGCCCGTCGCCCTGCATCTCGAACGCCACGCCGCGCCGCCGCCGGGTGCCGCCGCGCCCGCGCCATGAAGCGCTTCTTCGGCCGCTTCTCCACAGCCGGCGGCGGCACAGGCCCGTCGGAGAAGGGCCTCGACGGCTCCTCGGCGGCCTTCTCGCCGCGCGATCGCGTCGGCTCGGGCGACCGCGTCAAGGCGCTCGCGGCAAAGTGGGAGGGCCTCAACGAGGCCTCGCCGGCGCCGGTCAATGCAGTCTCTGCGCCGGCCACAGTACGTCGACCGCGCAAGACTGCGCCGGCAGAGACTTCTCGTGGCGAGGCGCCTCAGCCCGCGCAGGCCCATGCCGAGCTTGCTGCGTCGTCGCGCGTTGCGGCCGCCGGGCAGCCGAGTTCCAGCGCACCACCGGCAGCTACGCCCGAGAGCCAGAGCTCTGCCCGCTCGCCGCCCGAGGCGCCCAGAGAAGCCAGCGGCGGCAGAGACGCAGAGGCTGCTGCGGTGAAACGGCAGGGCGTGCTGGGCCTCGGCATTGGCCTGGGCCACCTCGAGGCGCCGCGAGACGATGCGGGAAGCAGGGACGCCAGCGGCTCGAGCACGGGCGGCAAGAGCGTGGCCTTTGCGCCCTCGCCGAAGAAGGCCGTGCGCTCCTCGTCGCCTCCGCGGCATGCTGCGTCCGACGAGCTGCCCGTGTCCAACTTCGCCAAGCCCACGCTGGCAAGCGCCGCGCGAGCTCGCATCGTGTCGAAGCCAAGCTCCTCCGACGGCATCGGCGCCAGCAGCAGTGCAACGACACTGAGCACACCCGGCGCCAAGGGCCCGTCGACGGCTGGTCCGCAGCGGCCGCGCCGCACGAACTCGACGTCTGGCCGGCGGGGCACTCCGGGCGAGCCTGACGGCACGCCAGACATTTCGCGGCCCAGCATCGCACACGCTGCCGCCTCAAGCACACACAGTTTATCGCACGATGGCCTGCCCAACTCGATTCCGTTTGTCTCTGCGCACTCGGGCCTGGGCACCTACCGCACCGGCAGTCCGCTGAGCCTGTCAGGATCCGGCGCGCCAGCGTCGCGCAGGGGCAGCGGCTTCATGCGGCACGCTGCGGATGGCCCGAGCTGGACCAGCGCAGGGCACAGCGTTGCCGGGCCAAGCTGGGCGAGCGACGGCGCGGGCTCGGGCGCTCGGAGCTTCGGCGCGCCAAGCTGGAGCGAGATGACCGAGGGCGACCTAGTGTCCAACCTTGGGCCGCGCGAGCGCACGCGGCAGGAGGTGTTGTGGGAGATTGTCGCCAGCGAGGAGCGGTGAGTGAGACGTGGCAAGCGAGTCGCGACGAGGCTGACGCGTCATCACAGCTACGTGGCGGAGCTGGAGAAGACAAAGGAGCTGTACCTCGATGCGCTGCTGCACCCCTTGCGTTTCTCGCCGTCGACATCGCCGCATCCACCGGCCGCGCCGTCGACCGCTCCGAACGAGACACCGAGCCGCGGTCGTCTGAGCGCAGCCGCGTCGGCAGCAGCAGGCAGCTCGTCAGACCTGCCCATTGCCTCGCGCTTCATGTCCACCGCCGGCAGCTCCGACGGCCACTCGACGCCAAATGCGGCCGCGCTGGCGCAGGCGCAGGCCCAGCTGGACGCCGGCCCGCATAGCCCGTACGCCGCCGGCATGGGCCACTCGTCTGCGCCGCACAGCCGCCGCGCCAGCGTCGTCCATGCGCGACCGAGCGCCAGCCGGACGAGTCTTGCCCAGGGTCTCGGCATCGGCAGCACCGCACGCAACCCTCCGCAGAAGCCTGCGCCGAGCGCTTCGACGCGGCCAAACGCCAAGCGCTGGTCATCTCGAGCCGCCTCGCAGGTCGGCTACGCTGACACTGGACTTTCCGTCCCGCTGCCGGCGTCGCTGCGCATCGTGCTCGAGTCGCTCTTCGACGGCCTGCTCGAGGGCCACGCGCTGCTCTCCGAGGCGCTCAAGGCGCGCTACGAGGAGCAGTACCCGCTCGTGCGGAGCCTCGCCGATGTCTTTCTGAAGTACCAGTACATCCTCAAGCACTACGCGCTCTACGTGTGCCACCTCGAGCGTGCTCTCGACGAGCTCGAGGAGGCGTCGCTCATGGAGCGGGCGATGCGCGGCAAGCGCATCAAGCGCGAGCGCCTGACGCAGACGGTCGGCCTCGGGCGCGCCGTGGCAGTGAGTGTGCCGTAGAGCTGCCCGTGCCTGCCGCTGACGCCTCTCTGCCAGTCGCTCGAGGCTGCTGCCGCGGAGCGCGGCGAGTGCGGCCTCTCCATCTTTCTCTCGATGCCCTTTCAGCGCCTCCTCAAATACCCACTGCTCTTTCAGAACCTCCTCTTCCACACGGATCCATCCATGTACGAGTTCGAGAACACCGTCGGCATGGTCGTCGACGTCGAGCGCATCGTGCGCTCCATCGAGGACGAAAAGACGAACAGCGAGGAGCGCGACCGGCTGCGCGACGCCTTTGCGCGCATCGACGGCATCACCGACCGCCAGGTGCTGCGGCCGCGCGCCGACCGCCTGCTGATCGAGGAGTATGCGCTGTACGATGAGAGTCCGCGGCGGGCGCTCTCCGAGTCTGCTCCCATCGAAGGGCGCAATAGCTCGGACTCGGCCCCGAATGTGCGAGGCACTGGCGCCGCCGCTTCTGCCACGCCCGGCCTGCGCGCCGCAATCAAGAGCAAGCGCTCGTACCGCCGCCTCTCGGACTTTCTCACCAACGACACGGCCACCAAGACGCCGAACATGGGCAGCAAGCGCGACGTCTGGATCGTGCGCTTCTCCGACGTCGAGCTGCGCTGCCAGCGCGTCGGTGTCACCGCGCTGCCGATGGCGAGCTCCGCAGTACTGACTGCGCCGGACGCCGACAGCAAGGCCGGCGCGGCTCCGGCAGCTGGCGACAGCACTGCTACCCCGGACGACTCCGAGAGCGCAGGCGACTTTGCCGCGCGCAGCAAGGAGAGCAAGGAGCGTCTCAAGGCGCTGCGCAACACGACGCTGCGCGCCAAGACGCGCAACCTGTACAAGTTCGTCGGCGTCGTCGCGTGGCGCAAGGCGCAGGCCGCCGACGGCGCCGACGACGTTGACCCGAACAGCCTGCTCGAGGCCGACGGCGACGAGTGCGAAGAGGACGACGATGCCAGCTCAAATGCCAGCGAGGAGACAGAGGCCGGCGTCCTGCTCGACACGGAGCGCTACGTGCGGCAGAGCACGCTGAGCTTCAGCTACACGGGCGACAGCGTGCTGCCGCGGCCGGTGCCTATCCGCGCGTCGACGAGCGTGTCGCAGCACGGCCACTCGCCCTCCGTCACGGCGTTCCGCGTCTCGCGCAGCGCCGCCAGCGTCAACCGCGGCATCGGCCGCAACGGCTCGCCCAAGCCTCGCCCGGCGCAGGAGTCCGAGGCGTCGGTCGTGTCGCAGTCGCATGCGCAGCCGCGGCGCGACAAGTTTGGCGCGCGCCTGCGCTCCGAGCAGCTGCAGCAGGCCGGCCCCGGCGGCGCCGCATGGACGTCGTACGGCACGGCCTCGTCGGCCTCGTCGCACCAGGCTCAGCGGCGGCTCAGCTCGCGCATGCAGGCCCTGCCCGGCAGCGGCGCGCCCTCGTCCTCTTCGCACGACGCCGTGTCGGCGCACCGTGCCGCTGCGTCTTCGAGCGAGGACGCCGCTGCGGCACGCCCGCCGCTCACGCGCGACCTGTCCAGCGTCAACTCGGACATGCAGCTTGCGTCCCGGCTGATGGATCTGTAGCGCCGCCGAACCTCCTGACCCCTCCCTCATTTACCCCTATTCACCGTATTCCCGGCCGCCTGCGGGCGCCCTGCACGCTCACTCCACAATGCTGCGCCTAATCGATGTCATCGTCGTGCTTCGTCATGCGGCGCCCATTGCCCGCAGCAGCGTCCGCGCCCGTTCGCGCCGCTTCTCCACGGCCACCGGATCGGCGGCCTGCTCTGCGGACGCGGTACCGGCACTCTCGGCAGCCAGCGCGATGGACCCGAACGACGTGCTTGCGCCTGCCGGCGCTGGCGCTGCGGCTGGCGGGGCTTCGGCAGTGCTTTGGGGCGGCTCGGGCACGGCTGGCGCATCGACGGCTGCTTGCAGCGTTGCGACGAAGCGCTAGCGCGGGCGGGGTCAGATGGTGCGTGTGCGCAGGGCAAGCAGCCGACTTACGTCCTTTGCAGCGCCCTGCATCGTGCCGAGGTACCGCCCAACAAGGGGCAGGTACTGGTCAGGAAACCAGCTGGCCGTCGGCGCCTCCTCGTCCGCATCGTTGCCATCTGCGACCGGCGCTTGTGCCGGAACCTGCGTCTCCGCGTCGGCTGGTGGCAGCGACAGAGCGTTGCGCACGAGCCAGAGCTGGCGCGCCTTGGCAAACTTCCAGGCCTCTTTGTCATGCACGAATTGGTAGGCGTACGACAATGCTGGGGTCCGCGACGAGTCAGCGAAGCCCGCGGCAGCGCGGGCATGCCTCCTCGGTGCGGCGGCCTGACTCACAACTTCGCACATTCTCGGCCAGCGTCGTATCGTCAGCGGGATTGCGGTCTGCCGACGGGCCGGGCAGCGCCCTGTCCTTCTTGGCAGCCCGCGTGCGCTTGCGCTTGCGCTTCTTCTTGCCGCCCTCGCCGCCTGCGCCGGCCGCGCCGCCGTCGCTGTCTGAGTCTGAGTCCGAGTCGGCTGCCGACGCGGCCGCCTTGCCCTTGGAAGGCGCTGCTGTCTGCTGCGGAATGGCAGCCACTTGCGGCGCAGCCGGCTTGCTTGCTGCAGCAGCCTGCTGCGGTGCGGCTGCCTCGGCCGGCGCTGCGCTCGACTCGGCCACCGGCTCGGGCGGCGGTGGCCGGGCAGCCTCGCCGGCGGCCTTGGGTGCGGTGCGCGGACGACGCTTGCGCTTGCGCGCCGGGGCCTGCTGTGCGGCGGTGATGGCGGATGACACGTCCGCAGCCGATGAATGTGCTGCCTCGGACATGGTGGCGTGGAAAATGTGGATTGTGGATGCGGTGACGGTGGAGACAAGGAGCAGGTATAGGTGAGCTCGCGAAGGGGGACCGGACCGCCTCTGCGAAATCGCGGTGCAGCCTCGGGAGTCGGGCGAGCACGAAATTCTGGCTGGGAGCGCTTCCCGTGCGAGAGCGTGCGCGCGCAAAAAGATTCTCGCCGCGGCTCCTCCTCTCCCACTCACTCTCACGACCCCTCCTCGGCTCTCTCGCACTTCCCGTGCAGCCGCCAGCATGACGTCCCTCGCGGCGCAGCTCTCGGCCGTGCGCTCGCTCAATGCGTCGCGCCTCGCCTCGTCGGCGGCGCTCACGAGCCAGGTCTCCTACCTCTTCCCCGCCGACACGGCCGCGACGCAGGACATTGCCACGGTGCATGCGCTCGGCGTCAACGGCTGGTCGGCCCTCTGCGCACAGGATGCGGCACTGGCGCGCTGGGAAGGCGGCGTGATGCTCTTTGGCGAGACGAGCAAGGAGCTCGACCGCGTGACGCGCGGCAAGGAGGAAAACGAGCAGATCGACCGCCTCGTGGCCGCCTGGCTCGCCAAGGTCGGCGCCGTGCTGCTCGGCAAGCCGGCCGCCAAGTGTCTCGAGTGGCTCGTCCGCCGCTTCCGGTGGGTTGCCAGCGATGGACCAGCGTACACGTCTGTCTGACGCACGCCACCACAGCATTCAAGAATTCAGCGTGCCAGAGCTCGTCGGGGCGTTCCTGCCGTACCACGAGACGCCGCAGTTTGCGCGCATGCTCCAGATCTGCAAGCTCGAGTGAGTGGCACCGGCAGACACTCTCACGCAGATGCTGACTGCGTAGCAGCAATTCGCCGTCTCTGGCATTCCTCGTGCCGCTGCAGAAGAGCGGCACGCCGCTGCCCTCTTCTGTCCTCCTCAAGGCGCTCATGGGCCCGGCGCACTCGACGCCCTCGCTCGAGACGCTCCGCTTCATCGTCGGCCTCGTCTCACCCACGCAGCGCCCGCACCGTGCGCTGCTCGGCTTCTGGACCAGCACGCTGGCGCAGCTGTGCCTGCGCTGGTCCGGCCAGGCCGCCGGCGCCTCTGCTGCGGCGACGCGCAAGCGCAGTGCGCCCGGCGCGGAGGACATGCTGCCGATCCTGCTCCCGGCTGCGGTCAGCATGGCCACTGCGCAAGGCACGGGCGCCCACGACTCGAACCTCGGCGGCCTGATGCTGCTCTGCGCAATCGGCTCGGCCTTTCCCCTGGCGCCGCTGGCTGTGCGCACCACGCTGGATGCGGTCTTTGCCGCACCCCTGCCGCCGAGCAGCGCGCGCGCCGCCGTCGCTGCTGCCTACACGCTCGTGTGCGGCGTCGACGAGCAGGACAGCCCGCTGGCTCTGCAGACGCCTGCGGACGCCCTCATCTCGCCCAGCACCCTCGAGGCGCTTCTCGCGCTGCCGAACCTGGAGCAGGATCTGGCGATCGCCGCTGCGTCGTACAGCATCCGGCCGTTCCTTGCACACATGGTGCAGGCTCTCATCAGCTCTGGAAGCCGCCCGGAGCTGCTCGCCTCGCTCCTGACGGCCGAGACGACGCCCGACGACGTTGTGCGCGCCGCAGTGGTGCTGCTGCTCGCCGGCGCCGCTGCCGATGGCCGCGCACTGCGCCTCCAGACGCTCGCGCAGCTGCGCCAGCGCCGGCCTGCTATCGTCGACGATGCCGTGCGCGAGCTCACGGGCGAGCTCGTCTCGGACGAGCAGCGCACTGCCACGTGGGCGTCGATGCGTGGCGTCCTCCGCCTGCAGGCCGGCGGCTCGACCGATGCGAAGGACGGCGACGATGCGCTGTGGCTCGGCGTCAATGATGCCGAGCCCGGCGCGCGCGCTCTGGCGCTGCGCTCTCTCGCAGATGCCGTGGCCAGCGGCGAGCTCTCGGCCAAGGACACGTTCGTGAGGGACGTGCTTCGCGCGCGGCTCGCCGACACCGACGTGGACGTGCTCGCGATGCTGCACGGCCCGTGTCTTGCCCTTGTCAACTCTGCGCTGGAGCCCAACGAGTCCATCGAAGCTGCCCTCGTCGCGCTGAAAGACACGCAGCTCGGTCACCAGGCAGCGGCGTCGCACGTGCGATTTGTGCTCAGCCTTCTCGAGCAGCAGCCGGCGCTCGCTGCGCGCTTCTGGTGGGAGGCCATCTGGCCGCGCGTGCTCGCGACCAAGATCTCGCGCAAGACGTCCGACGATGTTCTTGAGGCCATCCGCAAGGCTGACCTGACGAAGGCCACCGACACGCGCACTCGCGACTTTGCCCTCCTGCAAGCCGTCGCCGCTGCGCCCACAGACGGCGAGGCGTCTGCTCTCAACGAGGCGCGCGCGCGGGCGATCAGCAAGGAGCTCGCCGCGACGAACAGAAAGGGCTTTGGCCTGCATCTCAATTTCCTGCTCGAGCAGCTGGCCGCCAACAACGGCGCCGGCACACTGCTTGCCCTTCTCACGCTCGAGGCCCTCGTGCCGCTGCTTGACGAGGCCCGCTTCGTCACCGCCGCGTCGCGCGCGCTGTCGGCCGTTCGCCTGGCCGTCGACGACGGCGAGGACGAGGCGTCGCAGGCGGTGTACGCCAAGCCCGGCTCGGCACGCACGGCCCGCAAGCTGCACGCTGCTCTGCTCGTGAGCATCGCGCGCTCGCTGCCCGTCGACAATGCCACACCGCTGGCGCTCGGCAGTGCCTCGGGCGTGCGCGCGATTGCTGAGCGCATCTATACGATCGCCAATGCCCGCTCGACGCCGCCGGCGCTCAGCCGTCAGGTACTCGCGGTGCTGTTCGGCCGCATGCGCGAGTATACGCTGCCCTTCCTGGCCGGCATCTGGACCGGCGAAGATGGCCCCCCGGCGGGTCTGCGCTTCATTGCGCTGCGCCATGCGCGGGCCTTCGTCAGCGCCTGTGGCCAGCGCGACTTTCAGACTCTTCTGCCGGCGTTCCTGCTTGCTCTCCGCTCGGAGGACGCCTCGCTGCGCCTCGAGGCTCTCGAATGCCTTGAAGCCGTCGCCAAGCTTGCCACGGACGGCGCCGACGTGTTCTGTCTCGATGCCGTGTACGGCGTCGAGGCCAGCAAGTCGCTCCTGTACCTCGAGACGCGCGACGTGGCCCGCTTCGCTACGGACGTCGTCGCCGCGAGAGAGGCTTTCCGGCACAACAGCCAGCACGTCACTGCGTGGCTCGCCGAGCACCTCAGCGTCACGCGCAGCGACGGCAAGCGCGACGGGAACTACAAGCGCGCCCTGCTCAGCTGCCTCGCGTCGCATGTCGTCTCGTGGCCGTCGCCCGCGGCCCGCCTGGCGCTGCTCGACTTGCTGCGCTCGGTGTCGACCACGTCCAAGGTCAAGGATTTGCAGCCGCTCATCGCTGCGCTGGTGCGTCAAAACGCTGGCATGCCGGACGAGGCGTATGCCGCGCTGCTCTTTGCCGCGTACGACCGCAACTCGCGCACGGCCATCGAAGACGCCAGCTCTGGCGCATGGGCACTCATGCTCGAGGCTCTCGCCAGCCCCGCGGCACTGGTCCAGCGGTCCGCTGCCAATGCGCTCAAGGATGGCCTCGCGCCGGTGCTGCGCGGCGCCCAGCTGCGGGAGGCGTTCGAGCTGCTCGCCGGCATTGCATCGGACCCGTCCGCCACGCCCGTGCCCGAGGTCGGCCAAGCGCTCGCCAGCCTGCCACTCGACGCTGCGCTCCTGGTGCCGCTTCTGTCCGATCTGCGCCTCGCGATCTCGCACGGCGCACTGAGCTCACCGCAGGCCAAGCGCAGCAAGACCAGCCAGGACGGCGACGTGGCCGTCACGCGCAGCGCCGCTGTGCTCACCCGGATGCTGGAGTCGGCCGTGGGCCGCCCGCTAGAGACATCGGCGGCGCTGCTGGCCGAGCTGTTCGAGGTTCTGCGCATCGCCGTCGAGATGCACACCAGCCGGCTGATCGATGCCGAGCTGCTGGTGCAGTCGTCCATGGCCTGCATCGCGCAGGCGTTGGAGCGCGTCGCCAAGCCGGGTCTGGATACCGAGTCCTTCGCGGCGTCCAGCCCAGAGATCGTGCAGGCGCTGCGCTCCGACACGGTCATCAACGTCGTCAAGACGAGCAGCAACCCGCAGACATTCCACCAGGCGCTGCTGCTGCTCGCGCTCATCGCCACGCTCGACCCCGAGCCGGTGCTGCACAACGCGATGCCGATCTTTACATTCGTCGGCTCGTCGGTGCTGCAGCGCGACGATGCACTCAGCTTTGCCGTCGTCGAGCGCACGCTGCGCGCCATCGTGCCGCCGCTTGTCAAGTCGCTCCGCCGCGCCACGGCAGACGCCTCGTACCTGCAGCTGCTGCAGGCCAGCCGGGCGTTCCTGTGCATCTTCACCGACGCCGCAACGCATGTGCCGCGCCACCGTCGCACATTCTTCTTCCGCCTGCTCGTCGAGGTGCTCGGCGCCGCCGACTTTCTCGCGCCCACTGCGATGCTGCTGGTCGACCGCTCGGCGCACAAGATCGTCAAGCAGGCGCCGGACGAAGTCGCTGCGACGCTGGCCCTGCCGCTCTCGCTGCTGCAGCCGCACAGCGCCGCGCTGCGCCTGGCCAGCCTGAACCAGGTGTGGGACGAGGCGCTGCGGCTGTGGGCGCAGCGCGCACGCGACCCGACGGCCGCGCAGGAGCACCTCTTTCTCGACCCGCTCACGCGCATGGACCTCGAGCACACGGGCAAGCATCCCGAGCCCGCGCGGCGGATCCGTGCGCTGCTGGCGTACATTGTTGCGGCGATCGACGAGCGCGACCTTCGCGAGGCGCTCGAGGAGGAGAGCGTTCCGGCCGCGATGGAGGCGTTCGTCCAGCGCGCGCTCTCGCTCGCCAACGTGCCGGACGCTGCGATTGCCGCATCCGCCCGCCAGGCGCTCGGCAGCATGATGGCGCTGGTGCCTGCCGACGTGTTCCTCGCCGTCGTGTTGGAGCTGCTCGGTGACAAGAGCACGGAGCGGCAGCGCAGCGGCCTCGAGCTGCTTGCTGTGCGCCTTGCCGGCCTGCCTGCCGAAGACCGCGCCGCTGCAGCTGCGCAGACGCCGCGTGTCATCGACGCTGCGCTCGCAGCACTGCATGGGCCACTGGAAAAGCCTGCGTTGTCCGCGCTGGCGGCGATTGCCTCGTCGTGCGTCGCAGCGGAGCAGGCGCCGCTCGCAGCGAGCATCCCCGAGCTGCTCAAGACGGGCGAGCAGGCCCAGCTCGTGCTCAGCCCGCTCTCGCGGCGCCTCGGCTCGCGGCTCATCCCGCACCTCGCCGCGCTCGTGTCCTTTTGCGTCGAGGCCCCGTCGGTCGGCGCGTTTGGCACGCTGGCCGGCCTGGTCAGCTCGGTGCCGACGTTTATGGCGACGCACCTCGGCGCCATCGTCTGGCTGTCCGCCACGCCCGCGCTGCAGGCTGCCGATGCGCAGACGAGCGAGGCCAAGGCGGCGCTCGTCGAGCTGCTCAACGCCTGTGTGCGGCGCATTCCCGCGCTGCAGGTCTTCGAGGCGCTCGCCGCCGTGTGGGATCCGCAGGGCTCCAAGCACCTGCATCTTGCCGTGCTCGAGCTGCTGCACCGCGTGCTGCGCGCCGGCGACCGCACCGCGATCGCGAGCATCTACAAGCCGGTGTTCCGCTTCATGCTGCGCGTGCTCGACCTGCGGCGCGACTGCACGCTGTCCGCAGCAGACCTGGCCGCCGTCGAGGACCGCTGCGTGGGCGCCTTTGTGCGCATGGTGCTCAAGCTCAACGAGACGACGTTCCGCCCGCTCTTTCTGCGCATCTACGACTGGGCTGCGCTGGACCTTGCCGAGGAGGACACGCCGGTCGACGACGCGGCGCTGTGTGCGCGCCGCCTGGTGCTGTACAAGGTCATCAATGGGCTGCTCGACGCGCTCAAGGGGCTCGTCGCCAATTACTATGCCACGGTGCTCGACCTCAGCGTGGAGCTGCTCGAGGACGGGCGAGTGCCTGCGCCGCTGCATGCCGCCGTCGTGCAGAGCATCCTCAAGAGCGCGCGCTACGACGAGGGCACTTTCTGGTCGCCTGTGCGCGTCGCCAAGCTCGTGCCGGTGCTGCTCGCCCGGCTGGCGGGCACCGCGCGCGCCGCCCACGGCGACGCGGTGTCCACCACGTCGGCGCTCTCGCAGACGCTCGCCGCACTGGCGCTCGCCGTGCCCGACGAGCGCAGCATCAAGCTCATCAACGGCGGCCTGCTCACCAAGGCGCGCCACGAGGACGCGCGCGTCAAGCTCGCCGCGCTCGCGGCCGTGCGCCAGCTGTGGGCGCAGGAGGACCTCGCGCCGACGCTCCTCGGCCTCGTGCCCGAGACGGTGCCGCACATCAGCGAGCTGCTCGATGCCGACGAGCATGCGGTGCTGGACGCGACGAACGGCGTCGTGACGGCGATTGAGGGCGTGCTGGGCGAGCCGCTCTCGGCATACCTGCAGTAGTGAGGGGGCCAAGTGCTGAGAGGGCCAAGTGGTGAGAGGGCCAAGTGGTGAGAGGGCCAGCACGGGCAGGCTGCAGTGATCCAGCCGATCACACCTCGGCGGCTCAGCAATGCTATGAATAAAGACAGTGCTTTGCCAATCTAGGGCCGCTTGACGGGGCGGCGCGGCAGAAAGATGCTGGCGGGGCGAGCAGCCTGCGTCCGTGGCGGCGGCGCTGCCGGCGGCGGCGACGTGCGTGAGCGCTTGACGTCTGGCCCGGGCAGGTCTGGCGCAGGCCGCTTGAGCACGGGGCGAGGCGGCGCAGCGCTGGCGCCGCCAAACGTCATGCGCACGCCGCTGGCGCCGAGCGCATCCGACGCGCGCGGCGGCACGATCTGTATCCTCGCCGCAGCCGCGGCGGCCGGCGAGGGTGCCGAGCCGAAGCGCCGTGCCGACGCTGCCTCGGCGGCCGTGATGCGGTGGTGCGTGCCGGCGCGCGGCTCGGCCGTCGGGGCGGTCAGGCGCGCAGTCATGACGCTGGCCCTCTTGGCGCGGTTCAGCATGCTCTGCCCGCGGCTCGCCGTGCTGCTACTGCTGCTGCTCGAGCTCGATGAGCCCCAGCCGCTGCCTCGTCGCGCCCGTGCCTGCGTGGCCGCCATGCGGTCGGCAACGACGATCTGCTTGGCCGCGCGGTCGGCCTTGTGCAGCTCGAGCTTGGCCTTGAGCCGCGCGCCCATGGCGTCCTTGGCCTCTTGCTCGCGGCCTTTGGTTTTCTGCGGCACGGCGTCAGGCGAGCCCATGCCCCATCGCTGCCGCCACGGCAGATGCACCGCCGCTGCCCTCGCAAAAGCGCCTGCTCTGCCCGGCCACTCACAAGATAGTGCTTGCGCCAGCTCCGCGGCGGCTTGCGCTCATACACGCCCGCCGCCTCTTCTCTCCGCACCGTCGCAAAGTCGGCCAGCGCCAGCTTGCGCCAGAGCTCTTGTGCGTCGCGTCAGCGGAGACCACCACGCAGCCACGCCGGACGCACCCTCGGTCGACTCGAGCAGGTGCGGCGACGCCTCCTCGAGCACGACGAGCTGCTCGGCGCGGCAGCTCTCGAGCACGGGCTTGGCGATGCGGTACGGCATGTCGCCGATGTCGTCGATGTCTGGTCTGGTCAGCGCAAGCCTGGCGGCGGCCGTGCGGCGTGCTGCTCACATTGCAGGTTGCGCAGGATGACTGGCCGAGCAGCGTCAGCCTCGGCCTGAGGGCACCTGCTGCACGCACTCACCCCGCAGCGCCATCGACGCCAGGCTCTGGTCCGTCAGGCGCGGCCGTCTGCGCTCCGGCTCGGGGCTCTCCTCGCGCGAGCCGCTCGCCTGTGGCGCGCGAAAGGCGCCCGGGATCAGCACCGGTGTGTCCGCGGCCACGGCGCCAGGCGCATGCGTGCCCATCATGCCCGGCGGCTCGGGCGAGCGCTTCCAGTCCTTCATCACGAGGGCTGGCGGCTGCGCGTAGCAGAGATAGGTGGGAGGGATAGGCAAAGAGGGAGGTAGGTGTGGAGGCGTGCAGCAGGAAGCGCCCCTGAGGCGGCAGCGGCAGACAGGCGCGCCGCGGCGCAGCAGGCAGCCTCCGGCACCCGCGGGGAGGGCGTGGGAACCGCCAGACACAGGCCGGCACAGCATGAGGAAGATGGAAGATGGGGTCAGGATGCTACTGCCTCCTTGCCATTGCCCCTCTCTGCCTTCCCTTTGCCTTAGACAGTTCCTGTGTTGCCGAGGCATACATGACCCCTGGGCATCTTTGAGCTGGCACCTGAGGCAGCAACAGCAGATGCAGGCAGTGCAGCATGAGAAAGATGTGCTACTTGGACAGGGGAGCCACTGCAGGCCTGACCTGGGACAGAGCTGCCTTTGGCTGGTGCAGGAGAGCAGGCTGGACCTGCAGAGGCCGCCCAGAAGTGCCCAGGAGGGCTGCACGGCAGCACGTGCGTAATCTGGCAAGCTCTGAGCCGCAGTCAGTCTGTATACCATTCCAGAGTCCCTGCCAACATCAAAAGGTCTCACTGGCACAGTTGGCTAGCGCGTGGAGCTGTTATCGACTCGATTCGCAATCACTCCGAGGTCGTTGGTTCGAACCCAACGTGGGACGATTCTTTTTGCCCTCCTTTTTGCACCGCGGAAGGCGCGCCTCGATTGCGAATCGGCTGGGCTCTCTTTTGGCTCCGCGGCGTGACAGACGGCTGAGATCACGTTCTCAAGCCTCTATTGCTCCTTGCGTACCATCTCCGAGCTTGTTAGGCTCTTGCTGTCGAACTCGTTGCCCTTCCGGGGCGTCTGTGGTCTGCATACTCTGTTCTGCTTACAACGCGTCCCCGGCGCTGCGTGCGTGACGCAAGCGCGGCGGGCAGTCTCCTGGGCGAGGAAATGATGTCGCCAGCTTCAAAAGTCTTTGATTCTTCCCACGTATCAAGTCATTTTGGTGCCAACTCCATCCCTGCTGGCATCTTGTGGGCCCTGCCGTCGCTGAAGTCGAGCAGTCGCTGCTTTCGCAGCCAGAAGGGCGCCCAGGCGCGCGACGCCCGCGCGCCGCTCCGTCACCCAGGCGTGGGAACAGCGCGCTTCGCACCGCGCCCGCCTCAACAGCTCTACGCTCCAGGCCTCGCTGCGGCAAACAGCTCTGCGCTCGGTTACTCCCGTAGCAGCTCTAAGCTGCTGCTGCGGTTGCAGACGGTCCTGTGCTCCTGCTGTGGCGAAAAGGAGCCCTACTTCTGGTGCCACACACAGCTCTGCGCTTTCTCAGGGGCCGCGGCGATGCGGAACAGCTCCTCGCTCTCGCTGCGGCGGCATCCGCGCTGAGCTGGGCTAGCTGCTGCGCTTGTGTGTCTCGACAGCCTCTATCTGCGCTTGTGCTGTCGTGTCTGCTGGCCGCAAGTCGAGCAAGTGCTGCACCATCTGCCTCTTCACGCGGCGAGCAACGCGACGCGCTGCCGCGCGAAGGCGCGCGGCGCGGCGCAGACTGAACGGCGTCGTGCGCCCGTGCGCGTTGCTTCTCCGCCGACCACCACCCCCCTGCCGTGCCCCGTCATCGACGTGCCCTGCGCGCGCGGCTCGGCCGCTTCCTGGCGTCTCGTCCTGGCCAGGCCCAGCGTTTCCATCCGCTACATGCACCGCGCAGCACCATGACGCCGCGTGCCGCCGAGGCGCTGCCGCAGGCGCCGCTCTGCATCCACTGCGGCGCACGCGTCGCGAGCCTGTGGCGCAGCTATGGCGCGCCCGCAGCGACGAGCGGTGCCGCAGCCTCGGCGGCGTCCGGCAGTGGCGCAGGCGCAGAGCGGCGGGCGCGAGCTGCCGAGACGCCCCTGGGCCCCGTCGCGCTGCCGCCGCAAGGCGCACACGTCGTGCTGACGCCGTGCGCGGCGTGCGAGAAGGGCCACGCGGGCGCAGATGCGTACGTCGAGGGCGAGTGGGGCGGCGTCGGCCTAGACCTTGTGAGTGCGACGGCGGCAAGGCCAGGCTGGCCATTTGGCCTCGTGGAGAATGCACGTCTGCCTCGCTGTCGGTCTGTCCATCGAACGGGGCGAGCGGCGCCTCCGCTCACCCCTCTCGCAGCTGCTCGTGCGTCCGTCGGCATACCGGCATCTGCTCTTCAACCGCCCGTGGCTGGCCGGCGCCGGCGTCTCGCATGCGACGCTGCTGCGGCACGGCCTCGCGCTGGGGCTCGTCGATGCGTGTGCGTTGGCCGCGCGTCCCTCTCTCGCTCGCTGCGACTGCACTGACGCCTGCGTGCAGTCCTGCAGTGGCGCGCACAGCCTGCGCCGCTGCCCGCACTGCTGGCCTCGTTCGGCGAGCACGCCGCCGCGCGGCTGCTGGCGCTGGCGCTGCGGCACGGCGCGCTGCATGTGCTCGTCGGCCTGCTGCTGCGGCGCATCTGCAAGAGTGCCTCGTGCGTGATGCGGCAGGGCAAACGCACGCGCCACCGCTGATGCCCCCTGCCAGACACCGCAGGCAGGCGCTGCGCCAGGCACATGCAGCGCTGCAGCTCGCGTCGCTGGCGCCGCTGAGCCTGCTCGTGCTGCTGTACCTCTGGCGGCCGCGCGACGCGGCGCCCGGCACGCCGCCGAGTCTCGGCGAGCTGAGCACGCGCACGCTGCTCGGCGGTCTCAGCGCGGGTGTGGGACTGGGCGGTGAGTGGCAGTGCGAGGAAGGCAGTTGCGTTGGCTGACCTCCCTGCCAGTCGTGATCCCGCGGCGCGCGCCGTACACGAGTGTGATCCTCTGCGCCGTGTACCTGCTCGAGGCGTACAGCCTGGCGCACCTGACGAGGAATGCATGGCATTGACACTGTGCTCTGCGGCCCTCACGCCCGGCGGCCCGGCGGCGGCGGCGGCAGCAGGCCTCCGCCGGCGCCAAAGGCAGGCGCGCCGGCGGTGGCCGCCGGCTTGTCCTTCCGCCGCGCCGCGGCGCCCGGCAGCTTGACGGCAAACGTCTGGCCGGCCTTGAGGCTGTAGTCGGTGCCCTGCGGCGGCGCGTGCGGCGACGGCCCGGCCTCCTCGGCGGCGGCGGGCGAGGCAGCGGCGCGCGCGCGCCTGGGAGGCCGATCATCAGCGGGAGACAGAGACGCATGCGAGGAGCACACGCACTTCGTCCAGTCCTGCAGCGCGACGTTGAAGTCGAAGGCGTCGGAGCGGTCGAGGAACTGCGCGTGGGTGGTCAGTAGGGAGCCGTGGCGAGCCCGGCGAAGAAGCGAGATGCGCGAAGCCGCCAGGGCTTTGCGAAGTGCCTGCATCGCGTATGCTGGCCCTCGCTTCCTCCCTTCGACGCCTCTGGTGCCCCAGCCGTCTCGTGTCGCGCTGCCGCCGCGCCGCACCCCTCACCCTCCCCCCCC